TATAAGATATCAATGACATACAAAGTTTGTATTAGGTGATGTACTTTAATACCTCATACTTGACCTCATTACCACATTTATAAGTCCTGTTATTTTCTTAAACTTATGAATCTTCCAGTGTTATAGAGGTAAAATCTTAGCTTTGTTAAATTTGATAATGTTATTGTAAATTGCAATAATGAACTTTTTAATGATTCAATAGAGGTGTGTAGACAAATTCACCCCAAATGCCAGGATGTTGAGCTGCAGATGGCAGAAACCCTTAAGCATGCACTGAGCAAGTGTAATGGATACCTGTCTCTGGTAAATATATTGACAAATAAAGTGATGCACTCATACTAGTCAAAACTACTAACTAACATACACAATAAAATATAGCAATTAAAATATGTAGAATATAATATAGCCAAATTGGAAATGCATTCAAGACAAAAGTAAAACAGGGAATACAATGACATCACTGCTAAGTCATGTACCAACTTTGTCCAAGCTTCATATTGCATGAAACAAAATATTCATTTTTGGCATAAACTTAGGCTCAACTTTTTTTGTATAGAAGGTATTTACAATCATTAATTTAATCAACATTGTTTTTTATATTGACAGGCAAGCACTGCTTTGAAATCTCCCAGGACATCCACACCAACTCTCACAGCAAAACGGTCTGATTCAGAAGAACAGAGACTGTATTAGAATTATAGAGTTGAAAAAATATATAATTTGTTTTTGTAATGTTGTTTCAATGATATTGAATAAATGATATTACTTCTCACTTATTTTTCCAACTGAACATATTGAAAGTATTCTGGGTGGAGTTGAAAAGTATAAACAAGGTACTAAGAAGAGGTAGAAAGCAATGGAAGGTATTATCAAACTGCCAGAAAAGTAGTGGGAAGGTAATTACAAGGTAGTAGAATGGTAAATGGAATGTACCATGTTGGTATTTTAACATACCAAGTTGGTTGTATGTTGGTAATTACATTATGTAATATTTCTATGTAGCAACAAAATTTCTTGTAGTCCATACTTTTAAGTAAAAGTTACATAAATTAACTACGTAATCACTACCAAACCACTACATTATTAATATGTATTTATTACGTAAATGTGTTTGCTGAGCATAGAGTTAGGGAAGAGAAAATAACAGATAAAATAGTTTTACTCAAAAACATTTTTGAAATTTTTAAGAAAGTTTTTGAGATTATGCAAATGAAACTTGACAATTTTCACATGAAAAAAACATAGAAATAATGGAACCCCTTGGTCACAACAGACCATGAATGGGAGTTCAACCTCAATTAACACCTGGCGGCATCTGGAATTGTACATCAGGTCCACAGTTGGAAGAAGGTCCTCTACTTACATCCAACATCTGGCAGCATCTGGAATTTTAATAAAATCTGCAGTAGGAAGGGTGTCATGCCATTGAAACCCACACATTGAAACCTACTTCCGAACTGAGTGGTATTGTGCACACTCAGAAACCCAGTCCTCCATGGTCCACCATCCTAGTGGCTAGGAACTGGTGAGTGGCAAGGACTCCTACACTCCACTAGAAGAAAGAGGGAAAGAATGTGTTGAAGAGTCTAGAGGACAGCAGCACCAGAAACAGTGCAATGGGTGACAACAATACCCTATATTGAAAAGCAGGGAGATCACATTGACAGAGTGCATAATCCAACACCTGGCAGTGTCTGGAATTTTACATCAGGTACATGGTAAGATGAGCATCAAAGACAAGAGATGGGCATTGATCCCTGTCTACTTTACTTATGTTAGTCCATGAGTGTACAGTCCAGGACAAACATATTTATGAAGCAAAAGACTAAAAGGTACACTTACAAGCAGTCCAGTGGAACACCCTATCTCAACAGTGGACATAAAATGACCTTGTGATGTGCAATACTGTCTCTTTTTCTACATTTAATATTGATGCATAGAGGACATACTGGACAGAGTCGATCAACCAACATCTGGCAGCATCTGGAATTACACATCAGGTCCATGGTAGGAAGAGTCTCAATGTCACAGTCATCTAGCATATTCACAGGTTATACAGTGCAGATTTAAGACTAAGTACACCTGATCAGGGACACTTGCCACATAGCATGATCCAAATATGCAATAAAAGCCCCTGCAAAGTAAAAGAAAAATGGACAGAGTACATACCACCACAGATAAACAGTTACAGCACTGATGTCCCTCAATGGAAGTTGGTAATGTGCAACCAGAGACATGATAAAGTGACAGATCTAATGGGAAGAAAACCTCAAAAAAGGCAACATTCATTTGGAGAAATGGAAGAAAATGCAAAGCTGAGGAGCTGGTGAATGCAACCCAGAAGGGTGAGAGGAAAAGGTCACAAACAGACTTGGGAACCACAGTTTGAACAGGTCGTGTCATATACCCTCAGAGAGCCATGACCAGACAAAGAAGAAGGTGGGATCATAACACAGGAAATGGGAGGTAAGTACAGAACATAACATACCTGAATAACAAATCCACCAATGGGGAAAAAGGTCTGGGCAAGTCCCCCAAAATAACACATGACTAAGAGACATATTCAGGATGGGGGAAAAGGCTGTCCAAATCCAAAACTAAAAGAACACTGAAAACCTTGTTAGGACAATTATTAGTGTGTTTTGATTGTAGCATAAAAGTAGTCAACTCCCGACAGACCCATGGTGTTAACCTGTTAGACGTGGTCGAGAATTCTGCTGCTGCAGTAAGAGCAGTCGTAGTCGTGACCACCCGAAATTATGAATGCATAACTCCCAAAGTTGAAAGAGGAGATAAAGTAAAATAAATCTTAACTCTCCAAGAAACAGAACAAAAATGTAAAATAAATTAACTGAAGGAGAAATTAATGAAAGTGAAAACATGTAGATAGGTTAATCAAACTGCAAGGAAAAACACATCTAATTAGTAGGACTGTCAATTGAGAAGTGATAACATGTAAATGATTAGAGAGGGTGCTAGTTATGACAGGGTAGTGTCACACTCCTATTAGTGGAGGGTTGCTGTAGGATCATTTATATGTTAGTATGCAGTAATAAGTGGCAGTAACAAGGTTAGTGGTGAGCAAAAATTTGTGCCAATAGAGGGCAGTACAAGTTGAGAAACCTTGTTGTGAGAGGAGGTAAGATATTGAATTAGAATTTTATTTGGTTAAAAAGCTTTCTTTCTTAGCTTTAAAAGATACCTCCTAAATTTATGATATTTTAAAGACAATTGTAACTTTAGCTGTACCAAATTTTGAGTAATTTTTCCATGGCCAAAATGAAATTTTCATATTCAATTAAAATATGCCTTCAGAACAAAGAAAAGGTGAATATTGTTTTTCACTTTTAAAGAGGAAATGAGTCATTTAAATATAAGTTGCTCACTAATGGTGAATAAGTTCAAGTGCCCATGATTCAACTAGGGGTAAGTTGGATCAACCAGTAAAAATATCTGTGGTTGCATCAGTAAAAACTGTAATGTTAAAAAAGCACCAACTTTGGAACACCACTGTTTGAAAGCATGAGCTATTGTGCTTTCTTCTGAATTTTTTTACATCAGACAAAACATATTAAGAGAAATGGAAGAGTTTCAACTATACATGCTTGAATCTTTTGCAATAAATATTAGAATATTCTGAGTATGTTAGTGCTGTTGTTTAAACTATGAGTAAACTTAAAACTTCAAAATTTTCATTTAACTCCATCTATTTTAAAATCACAAAAGTATAGATTGAATACCAGCTATTAAAGAACAAGCAAAAATTTACTGATCACTCAAGAAGTCATATGTATGAACAAGATTTCTGCCATTCCTTTGCTCTTACTTATAAAGTAATCTAAAAAAACTTAAACCTTATTAGCCATTTTCAAGTTTAGGACAAGTCAAAAACAAATACTCAATTTACAAAGAACTCTCCAATCTTAAAAAGTTTAATAATATCATTCAATGGATAAGTCCTGTAAAAGCATTTATTTTTAGCATTTCAGTACATAAATTTTTTGTTCTGTATCAATTACAACTTTTCCTTAAAATGAGTGTACTCTATTTTGTATATTTAAATTAAATATGAGCCTTTCTGCTTATATTAGCCTTTGCATTATTTTAATGCTTCATACTAAATTGCACAAACCAATTTTAAGAACTTTGTAAGCACAGACAGAAGCTAAAGTCTACATCAAAATCAATCAGATCCCACTGAAATTGTATGAAATTTCAATTTATTTGTTCAACATATGAATGTAGACTAAAAAGAAAAGAAAGCCTTTATTTATTGTGCTCAACTCCACAATATACATTAAAGTTAGATATATCAGTATATTCTGCTACTATAATATTTCCAAGAACTTGTGCACAAAAATGTCCTTTTTCAAACACTTTCAAACCCTTGAAATTCCATTCTCAATTTCAAGGACTTTCAAGGATATGTATGTACCCTTTATTTTTAACTATCTCAAAACATGTTCTCTTCCAAAATCCAAAAGACAGACATAAAGAAAAAAGAAAACTCTTATTCAACCGTATTTAATCATTAACTCCTAATTACATATCATATTTAATATGAAAACATCAAACTTAATCAACATAAATTTTCATCTCTCATTTTCCTCATCCATCATCCATAATCAATTATAAGAATCAATTAAGTAAACCCTAGTTCTCATTCATCAATCTTTGAATCAAATGTATTTTATATGAACTAAAAATATTCTTTCGCTCATTAACATTATCTTTTCCCACTTTTGTCAAATCAATAAATTGAACACAATTTTCCATTCATCTTTCACTGTCAGTCATGTCTAGTATGATTAAAAAATAGAAATTTATATTCTCACACAACAGCTCTTAATAAACTGTTGTTGGATCAGTAAAATTATCATCACAATACTGGTTTTTGCAACAATTCTTTCAAAAATGAGTCAAAATAAAAGATATAAAAATGGAACTAATTATGTGTACACATTTTTTATACAGAAATTAACAAAAAGAATATATCATACCTTTGTCTGCAATTAGGTTATTTGATAGATCAACTGTGTTGATGGGAGTATTTGGGTTGGAAATCAATGCCAATGATAACTTGTGAGCAAAATCACTATTGGAATAAATAATGTATTTCTTAATTATAAATTCTTATCTTTAATTCATAAGTATTTAAAAGAATAGTACTTTGTTTTAAACACCTCAAAATCTCACTTTTCTTTTTAAAGATTATCTTATGTGTTGTATAATGTTTTACCCTATTTTCAAATTTCTTAAATTATCATAAAATCACTTTAAAATCAACACTGAACAATGAAAATTTGGCAGAAAATTTTTTATTCTTTAATATAACAAAAAATGTATTTTCCTGTAATTGATATTCTCTTAACAATACATACTAACTTTAAAAACTACCTTTGAAAATCTTTTAATAACAGAAATTTGCCATCTGTTCTGTAACACATGACTGAACATGTTTTATAACTGAGATATGAAAGATTCACTACTTCCCTTAACATTACAAAGTGATGCTTCTGTTTTTAAAACTACTTAATTATCAAAAAATTTCCATTAAAAACTATTAATATCATTTCAAAGTAATCACTAACCATGTATAAATTCTTGACAACTACACTAAGAAAAACGTTCTGAGAACAAAAAAAAAGATTGTTATTTTTCACATAAACATTTTTACAAAAACAAAAATGAAATTACATTTTTTTTAAATACTTCCCACACAATAGATAATCTAATTATTATTATTGTGTGCAATATGTTACTTTTTTGAAATAATCTGATATTTAGAGGAAATGCTGGAAAGTTTTGGAAGTGTGCTAGTTTACTAGTTAAACAAATGCTTGGGTACTCGATCAAAGATCATGTACACACACACACATATATATATATAGGTATTGTAATATATATTACAATGTACAGTAAGTATTGCAAACAGTGAGCTGAGTATGAGTCTGAAATGAGATGTTAGAAGCCTACTCCTGTGCATAGGGAGATTTTTGAATTAAAAAACTGGCTTGCAGGTTGAAAAAAATACATGTCAAAATGGAATACTTGGCAATTAAGTAATCAGGAGCATACTGATTTTTTTCTTTTTTTCTTAAAACCACAATTTTATTAAAGATTGTAATAACCTTATATTCATGATTAGTTACAGGGGTTTCATTAAGTATAGAGATGAAAAGTTTCAAACCTTTCACAATTTCCCTCAAAAGGTTTTTGGGGCATTTGTCCTATGGTGGAATGAAGCAATCTTTTGGGGTGGAAGGAGACTAAGCTTACCCTTGATAAAAATATAGAATTATCTGGCCACGTCTATTATTTATTTTAATGTTAAACTTAGATTTCTTGTCCCACTGTTAGTTAAGTGCTAACATTAGTTCAGCATTTTATGCATACATGTGTGGATTTTAGATGCTTTAAACAGAGGCCAAAGATGCTTTTCATCAATGTTGTGGTTGACCATATTCTCAGTAGTTTCAAATACACAATAACAAATGTATTTTACATAAATAAGAATCTCAAATCTGACTAATCACAAAATTGGAAGGAAAGACATGGTTTCAGTATGATGTCATCCACTGTTCAGCTGGAAATAAAGGTGAGGGAAGGCAACTAGTGTGAACATAGGTTATCCAATTATCATTCAATATTTGTTGGATGTCCCTTTGTAAGTATATATTACACAAAACTGAAGCAATGGCCTGGAATGTTTTTTACTCTAAGACATGAAGAGAAAATACTAGCATGACTGTATATATGAATAATAATTAGCAAGATTACTTAATACAGTGTATTACCCTTTTCTTCTAACATTTTTGTACCTTTGAAAAATTTTCAATAAGCATTTTGGATCTTTTTTATAAACATTATGTTTTCTTAATGGAATTCTTGGAGTTATTTTTCATTGCAGTATGCAGACATACTATAGGTTTTCCACCTTCTTTTATTAATATATAAATTTTTGTAATTCTCTAGATATTGCTGCAACTTCATCCATTGTGTAAAAATTGGCTAATGACAGCAATTTCCTTCACTGACTGAACAGATGATATCTAGAGTTTACAGCTTTAACAACGTTGTAAGAGAACAACCAGTCACGCAGTAACATACAATATGCTGGGTAAATCCAACATTTCCTGTTCATATGGAGTGTTGGGTTCAGATAAATTCTATTTGAACTACACAGTGAATAATTTAATGGAATAAACTTCTCAAGAAATGAAAGCTGTTGGCTGATTTACCAATCCTGTAAAACACAAATGTCCAGTATTTAAAAAAGTGTTGATCTTAGCACAAGGGAACCAAGGTCAGCTAAGGGTTAGTACAATGAAGTGGCACCTGTTGAGTCTGAGTTCACTTAGGGAAGACTCTACTGGATTATCAAGCTGTCCTCTGCCAGAGTACCACAGCATTAGCTTTGGTCAAGGACCAGAAACTGATTACTCACCCAAATGTTAGGAATCTCTGAGTTTGTCTGCCACCTCCACCCGAGATTCTTATGATTCAGGCAAAGCCCATTTTGCCTTTGATGTTCAAAAGAGTTGCAAATAAGACCTAGACCAGTTCCTGGAACATTTCAGGTAGTAAACAGAAGGATTCCGAGTTGCACCAACAATTCGACCTTCTAGAAAAACAGGTAATCTATTTATGCAGCCAATTTCAAGGATCAGAAGAATACAGATGAAGGGTCAGGCTTCTTACCCAGTTGAGAGACTTAGTGTAGAAGCCTTGAAGCACCATCTGGGTGTGAGGGGCATCCTCACCTTAGTAGAATTAGTCATTGTAGCAATTAAGTTTAAAGTAGTAACTGTGGGACAGCCATTAGAATGCTTATAATGACAGCTATAGTGGCTACATCTCAGATAGACCAATCTATTCAGGTACCTCCACCACGTCATGCTAGAGTTGTACCAAGGGTTAACCACCTGCCCACATTCTACCACTGCTATACTACCACAATGACGAATAGACAAGGCTATCCAGATCTGCCTATTGGATATATGCAGCAGCCAGTACTGATAATGCCACCACCTGTAAATTGTCCAGGACAGGAAGAATGAAGCATTTTGTTTGCTTTTAGACTGGAGGGACACTGGTAAATGAGCTGCCCATACTTTCCCAAGCAGCAAAGGTAGCAGGGTGATCCATTTCCGTGATGATTTATCAGAGGCCAGTCAACTTTCAATGCCTGCATTTTGCCAAACAGCAAATTAGGCAAGGTTACTTTCACCACCTGATGGCTCAGCAGGTGAAGGACAACCAGCAGTATGTTGTTAAAACTATGGAAAACTGACAGAATCCAAGTCAGTTGTGATCTCCAGCTTGGGAGAGCACAATGGTTTGCTTGACTAAAGATTTCGGTTGTCATTCCAATTTTCTCAGAGCTGAGTGGACCTTGGTTCATACCTTTGAGGGTGCAGGGGCAAGATATTGAGTTCCTGGTTGAGACAGGTTCAGCCAGATCATTAGCATACCTCCCAATACATTAAGCCCCCCATATGAGATCAACACTTTTGCCAAGGAATGCTCACTTAATTGTGGCAAATTACAACAGACTAGACATTAGAAGGGAGGTTAGATCTCTAGCTCTGTCTAGGAAATGTTGCTCACAAAATGAAGATAGCTGTCTTTGACCTCATATCTGGTATTATTATCCTTAAGATGAATGTGAAAATTATCTTTCAGTCTTGCCTATACTATAGGTGAACTGATGTGCTACAGAAGAGTCATACGACATTGGTCAGATCAAGCCCACGAACAATGGACTGCATGAGTGTATACAGAAGAAGAAATAAATAGTACCTTCATATACACAAGTGCTGTGTTACATTCAAAATATAATTAAACACTTTTCTATCATTATATGTGAATAAAATTAATATTATAATGTATGTTTTGAATTGAAGTTTTATTTAATCTAAGTTTAAGTCATTTATTTCAAAACAAACCTTTAAAAAACTACTTAAAAATTCAGATGCATTGTCACGTGACCAACAAGCTATGAAAATTCTCTACTTTGACTCTCTGTATCTTCAATAATACAATGATAGTTGAATAGAGATATGTCTAGATAATAAGATGCTTACATAACCTTTTGACTCGCACATTTCAAAGTTCTCTGAATGAATACAGTTAAAACAAGTAACAGATTTTATCAACCCCTGACAGGTATCATGCCCACCTTCAACAGATTTGTTTGAGCTTTATAGCCTACATCTAGATGTTACATACACATGTGTATAGTCATTAGAAAGAGATCATTTTAAACTATAATCTAACAAAGGTTATTTTGAAATTGGCCAGCAGTTGTCATCATCACAGATTATATGTAATTGACTGTAGAATTGTTGGCTGCTTGATCAACTACAGCACTTATGGTTGTTTCATACCTAAATATGTTATAGTTGGAAATACAGTTTAAATTGTATTTAGGTCTTACTATTATATTTTAGTTAATTATGTATTAGTTATGTTTTAAAATGCAAATTAAAAGGTTTAAACATTTTTTAAATGTACATCATACTTGGCATCCAATCTCAAGGCTTATGATATTACGTGCTGAACAAAAATTTTGCTGAAGGATTGCGCATATCTCCCAAAGAAACTGTAATATGCTTCGAGGGCACCATTAACTTGTCATGTTGAATAATATGTGGGAAAGGACAAGAAAGGTAAATAAAATATTAAAAATTAACTATATGTGAAAAGGAAAAAGACATGAAATTACAAATTTAACAAAAGGAAAATCTTTAAAGATATTCTACAAAAAATAAAAGGTTTGTATTGTTTTCTATTTCCTAATTTTAATTATTTCATTGCACTGTAGATTGATGATAATAGCTACAGTTAGTAATATAATAAAGAAAATGAAAAATAAAATATAATCATTTACCTTAAAAAACTTTTGATATCCTTTTAGGAGGTTCTATAGATTATGCAAATGAAATATGAAAACTATAAGATGAAGAAAAGTATTTTTATACTTAAAATGAAAATCACCTTGCACTCGATTTGTTAATAGCTTGAGTACAAGTAACTATAATAGAAAAATAACATATCTTTAGTAAAAACATTTAATTACAATGATGTCATTCT